CGCCCGACGCCGCTGCAGCTGCCGCTAGGATTCTTGTACGTGCATCACACCTACGTGCCTGCACCACCCTGCACGGACTTCGCTCGCTGCGCAGCTAACATGCGCTCCATGCAGCGCTACCACCAGGACACGCAAGGCTGGAAAGATATCGGCTACAGGTGGGAGGGGCCCGACCGGGGCGGGGGCGGGGCCCACATTCGGGGGTGGGGTCTGAGTGGGTGGAGCCTGATGCAGGGAACCGGGTCTGAACTCGAGGTTCAGACCTCTGGCAAGACCAAGGAGGAGCTGGCAAGACCAAGGAGGAGTCCTGATAGGGACAGACAAGTTGGAGAGGTGGCGTGGCCTAGGCTAGGGGCGGGGCCTTAACAGGGACCGGGAATAGCTAAACCGTGGGACTCGAGTCAGGGTAGAGAACTAGGACAGGAGGCGGGATCTGGGAGAGGAGCGGGACCTGTGGCAGAGTCTGGGTCTGGGGCCAGGCAGAGATGGCCTAAAACAGACAAAGAGGCCTGGTGCGGTGGCTCCCACCTGTAATCTCATTACTTTGGGAGGCTGAGACGGGAGGATTGCTTGAGTCCAGGAGTTCGGGACCAGCCTGAGCGATATAGGAAGACACCCCCCCCCATCTCTACAAATAAAAAAATTAAAAAACAAAAACAAAAACAGCCGGGGGTGGTGTTGCGCACCTGTAGTCCCAGCTACTCGACAGGCTAAGGTGGGAGGATCGCTGGATCCCAGGAGTTCAGGCTTGAGTGAGTTATGATCGCACCTCTGCACTCTAGCCTGAGTGACAGAGCGAGAACCCGTCTCGAAAAGAAGAAAGAGGCCGGGCGTGGTGGCTCACGCCTGTAATCCCAGCACTTTGGAAGGCCGAGGCGGGAGGATCGCCTGAGGTCGGGAGTTCCAGACCAGCCTGACCAACATGGCGAAACCTCGTCTCCACTAAAAATAAAAATTTAAAAAAAAAATTAGATGGGCGTGGTGGAGGGTGCCTGTAATCCCAGCTACTCCGGAGGCTGAGGTAGGAGAATCGCTTGAACCCGGGAAGTGGTGGTGACAGTGAGCCGAGATCGCACCCT